TACATAGTCTCATTGTGCACCACCTATTTTACTTTCTCATCTGACATGTTTTTCTGGTCTCCAATAGCAGAACATTGAACACTTTGCAATTTATTCAAATGAATGGTAGGGGAATCTTTTCTATCTGTTAATCAATGATATAGCTATAAACTGTAAAAGTTCTGACTTTTTACCTCACACAGTTTTGGAGCTATTATAAAAATACCTTTTTGGACACTTTGACCTTTGGAAAACCTTAATCATGGTGGCCTTTTGTTAATAATTTTGTTTTTGTTAAAAATTAACAGTTTAGAAGAAATTGTATAGATTACATTCTAACATACCATGAGTATTGCATGAAAATATATAAAAATGTTATAGTTTACAATATATTCATATGTATTAAAGACTTGTCTAAATCGTTTTTTACTTTAGATTTTATGTTTGATTTCTTCGATTACATATCTATGATAAGCATTTCTTTAGAGTTATGTGTGCTATTAATACATACATTTCTTGCACGATTTTGAACTGGTGCTTGATACGATTCTAGATTAAGAGAAGTGGAAAATGATATATCCACATACAGAGAAAAATATCATCAAATATGAACTCTTGTCAGGTGTTTGAACCTACCAAACAATAAGGAAACACTTCATATACATTTTGGTCCTGTACTTATCGTAAAGATTAAAGCTCATTTTATATTTAGAAAAAAAATACAAATCATAAATACGGGTCTTGAAATATTTTTAGTCCTTAAACTTGCTTTAAAAATAGCATCTTCATGATTTTTATGACATATTTATGACATGAAAATTAGTTTGACATTATTTAAACAAAAGCTGTGATGATTAACATGAAAATGTTAATATTGGTCACTAATGGACATTTTTAGTAAATGGAACTCACATTGACATACTATAATACCATAAAAATCTAATCATATTTAAAAGGAAAACATCATATCTAGCAGTCCAAAATGCAATTCATTCTGTTTATTACATTGAATAAAAAGCAATGATACATATTATGTTGGAAACTATTTTCAGTACAAATAAGATATTGAATATAACAGCATATTCCACTTAATCATTTTTCATCTTGATTGTTGATGCATATTTAAAACTTGTTTGAATTCTTAATGTTCTATATACGAATTTCAACTTTAAAATACATTAAATGATTAAAAATGATATATATTTTATTTGCATAATTTAAAACTATGTATAAATCTAAAACTTTCCTAAAAAAATCACTCAAATCATAAAAAATAATAATGCAGAAAAATAAATGAAAATATTTGCGATTTTTGAGTTTTTCGCATCTCTGTTTTGCAGAATACGTGAATGCATAATATCTGAGCATCCTATTTTTTGTTTGTTTGACAAGATAAAAAAAAAGAAGAAAAATACATTTTTACAGCCCGCATGCTTTTGTTGACACAAACTACTAGTAGTATTTACCCACAAATGCAACAAAATAGTTATTGCAACAGAAAAAAGAGGGGCGGGTGGATAAAAGGTTCAATAATGTATACAATTTATAAATGGAAGTTTTCTGCTTGAATGTTCTTGTTTGGATCAATCTGATCACCGCTGGAAATAAAAAGCTCTGACTGATCTTAGCCATCACCAAAGAATATTTTAAAAATTCACAGTCTAGACTCACTTGAAAAAATCTGCATAGAGGCCGCTTTTTCGGTATTTTTTAATTAAATTACTATAAAATCACTGTATTGTATCATTTAGGTTTTGGCTACTAGATATCTTGTTCTCACCAAGTTAATGAAGTATAAGTGGATTTTTGATACAAAAGTATTTTTCATATTTCCTTAGAGAATACATTTTTTACTTAGAAAAGCCTTACGTACATTCCATGATATCAGGATTTGTCCCTCGATAGAAATCAATGATATTTATTAATTTTTAAATCATCAAAGCAGCATAATTTATGGGAGTATCAAATGCTTATAATAACCGGGAAATATTGTCTTCAATTATTGAAAAAAAAATCGTTTACCTTATGCATTTCAATTATTCACACAAAAAAATCCACAGGAAATCACTGCTTTATGAAAATTATCAATTAATTTTATTTTCGTGTCGGAAACAATTTAATTGCTTTCCGTTTATTAAGCTCTTTGGTCTGTATTTCATATCATTGAGCTTTTCTCTTTAACGTTGATAATAAATGTTAAGATAATCTCATTTCATATAATAATTAAGTAATCATAAAAACCAAAAAGATGTTTGAAACTATTCACTTACATCAAATAAAAAAATTGAACCTGAAAATGATTCACAAAGCAGGTCAATATTTATAATGAAGCCTAAGTCATGAAAAGGGGATGGCTACGGGCTGCTTATTTAGTGAAAACAGATAGGCAGAACAAAAATCAAAATAGAAATTTATGAACTCATGCATGCTAATGGAATTGTTGTTATCCAAATAATCAAAAGTCGTGTGGACACTTTTTAAATGGATGGGTACATGAAATAGATGGAGATCACGAACAGTATTCAAGCTCAAAAGTCCATCAAACAATACAAAATAGGAGTAGAGCAACACGGATTTCCTAAACATCAAAGGTGGAATCAGATGCCATGAAGGACTGAGCATCCCCTGCCGACCAGTCACACCCGCTGTGTGCGCCTTGTCATGATCGAGAAACAGCAGATTCGTCGTCAATTCAGTTTGCCAATAATGGCACGATTAGTATTAAAAATGTCAGTCAGCATTTGACTCAATGATAAACAATATTTGCTCACAAGGTCATTGTATCGGCACTAGAACTTACAAAATAAAGACTTTAAACCTGACTACTGATATTTGTCTTTCATCAACTTGTTTGTCAAAAACTTACCTTGTTTAAGAAAGTGTTCATACGTAGAGCATGTTCTTGCATGGTCGAGTCAACTGAGAGATATATGAATGACGATCCAGACTCTGTGTACATACATTAAAATATTTTATGTGAAATGTTTAGAGAAAGTATTTTTAGAAACTTTTGACGTTATGATCTGGGGAAATATGTTTAATGGTAACAAAACATTGCCTTTTTCTTTTAGAGTAACACAATTGTTATTTTAGTTTATTTAAATATTTTCATGTATGGCAAAATGCTTATATAGAATTTGTTCAAAGTTGTATAATGATAAAACAGATAAACAACGTTTGCTACCTTTAAGATCGCTTTTAATGTTTATGTTCACTCTTTTTTTTCTGTAATTTGACAAATACGTTTAGCAAGGTGGAGTTTTAAATGTTTTATTGTTTTATAGCCCAATTGTTTCATTCTCATAATTTGATCTACAAAAGTGCCTTAGATTTCTTGAAAATATTAAAAACAGGTGTATATATATATATCTTGGTAGCAACCATGTCTATTTAAAATGCAGACATATTTAGATTATCTATGCGCAAGCAAAATAACGTTTACAATTATGAATTTAAATGCCGATGTAGGCCACAAGGATATGCAGTGATCCAGTCAAAATATGACTGAATAGACGTCAACTAACTACTTCCTGTAAGGTATTTTTATCAAATTTACAAAAAAAGCTAGATTTTTATTTAAAGTTATATATATTGTGATATTTTTTCTTACTTTGGACATTTTTTCACTGCCTACACACATGTATTTTTATTTCTTAGTCGTACATGTATCTCGTTCATCCCTGCATGAAAATCATACAGGACAAAAACGAAAGTAGTATATCTTTTGTAAATCTTGGTAAATTTAATCCAGCATGAGCCTATAAAGAGCTCAGTCTAAATAGAAAAAGACCACTCCCTCTCCCACAAAATAATACTTTCATCTTAGTGAGCATAGAAAAAGAAGAAATAACAGACTTAAAAAAAACTCCACTGTAAGAAACGGGCGTTCAGACTAGGGTGAGATCAAATATCAGTGTTGGATTGTTGATTGGAATGTTATTATTAGTCATTTTTAAAAAGAAATGCATATTTTATGATGGATAACGAAAACATTGCTATAATTTACGTTATAAGCAATTTTTCATTCAGAGAAGATCTTTGTTTTTGTTTATTTAAATACCATTCTTTTCTTATTCCTAACTCGTTACAATGTTGTTGTAAATGAATCTTGAAAAAAGGCAATTTGCAACTCTAAAATGTAGTGTATAAAAACTTTAAAACCTTCCATTTGAGGAACTGGACCGGACCTCCCCTTACAATTTACGTTTGTCCACTATCCTATGACAGTAAGGTACAATTCATGTTTACTTGTGCTCTCTGTTTCTTCAGCAGGCTTCGTAATTTGCTGATCATTGTCTTCCATTGCAATGTTCGGAGATATTTGAGGTGCAAGGTAGCATGCATTGACGTCTTGTTTCTCCTTTTCAGTATCGCTTTGTTCGTTACTTAAATGATTTGAGTTACCAGGTTGTTTATAAGTTTCCATTTCGTCTGATACTTGATTTAGTGGAATCATGTTAATGCTTTGTAATGATTCGTATGACTCTGATTCGGAATTTCTACTTTTGTTACTCTGTTTGGAAATATTTCTTTTCATTTTGTTTCTGCTACATTTGTTTCTTATTTGTATTGTAACATAGACTGTAAGTATTAAAACGAAAACACCAATTAATCCCAGTACTGTAATCAGAGTCAAATAAAAAACAGAAAAATCCATGTTTTCGTCAGCTGTATTGGCTTTTGTTGATATCTCCTCCTGTGTATGACTTGACAATCTTGGTGAAGTGGAGGGATGGTCATAAATGTAAGTCTCTGTAAATGGACACAGTATCATATGTTACAAGTATATACATATGAAAATTTAATGGGCAAAATTAAAATGTTATTTGATGAAAGAATGCCATAATTTTTTTCACCAATTATATACTGTAAATCACTATTTATTCGCGAGAACTTTATTTTCGCGTTATTACGCGAGAGAATATGGTCGCGAAAATTTCATTCTCGCGTTTAATAGTATTCCTTAAGATTATGAAAAGGAATGACCACAATTCGTGAAAATTTTGTCTCGCTTATAAAGAGTCAATGAATATCTCGCGAAAACTAAGTGATCTACAGTAGATTTGATCATTAATATACATTATCGTTTCAACTCAGCCACATTGTAAAACAGTTTCATTTACCGTGTTAATGAAACCAAGCCATTTGAAAGTAACAAGAATTATGATAGTATTGCATTGGTAATACTGGTCCCTTACCGGATACGGGATACGAGATATTTAAAAATTCTAAATGAGGGGAAAATAATGAAAAGATTAACTGACCTGTCGGTAAAACACATCCTGTGAATGGGCTACAAAATTTAGGACTGCAGTTACAAAGATATTGACATTCGGTACCATAGTTTGGATAAGAGCAGATTTGTGAACAATCTTCTCCAAAATAGCCACTCTCACATTCTGTGAATCAATTAATTTTCTTCAACTATATATAATACAGATGCATAGATTATCTTCTACATGCCTAATATATACATGCACATGTATTTTATTTTTTTTAGCCAGTGTTATCCCCTCTTTATCTCCCAAGAACTAGTCTGCATTAAGCCTGAGTAAATTTTTCTATAAAACCAGTCAGTAACATGCATGTGGATACGTCTCCAAAACATTACACCAGTCTGCCATAACGGTAGGATATGGAGATAACGAACAGTATTCAATCGCAAAGTCCATTAAACAATATACAAAATAAGAGCAGAGCAAACACGGACCTCCGAAACATCAGAGGTGGGATCAGGTGCCATGGAGCAGTGAGCATCCCCTGCCGACCGGTCACACCTGCCGTGTGCTCGTTGTCATGATCAGGAAATAACGGAATTAATCCGTCGTCAATTCAGTGTATAAATAATGGACTAACAATTGGTATGAAAAACGTCAGTCAACATTTGACTCAATGATAAATTGTATTTGCTGACAAGGTCATTGTATCGACCATAGAACTTACGAAATGATGACTTTAAACGAGACTGTTGATATTCTTGTTTCATCAACTTGCTTGTCAATAATTTACCTCGTTTAAGAAATTGTTCATACCTAGAGCATGCTCTTGCGTTTCAAATCAACTGAGATATATATACTCCGTATGCAGGTGATGAAGGTATATTGCTGCATAAGTAAGGGAAGTTGACGATAGAAAAGTTAAAGTCATCACGTTTATCATATAGCTTGGTTGTTAGATTACCATTAGTGTGTCTTTTTCAAGTAAAATATCCAAGTATGAAGCAGAAGTGTCGGACTCTGTGGTATCTTTTATCTCAAGCTCACCAGGATATATCGTATCAACGTAGGAATGGAAATTATCATTCTTAATTGACAATACGTCGTCGATATATCTAAATGTTGAGTTGAAGGCCACAGCAAGTGTTTTCTTCTTTTCACGCATAAGATTTTGCATAAATTCAGCTTCATATGAATATAAAAATAAGTCTGCTGATAACGGAGCGCAATTTGTACCCATGGGAATTCCAATAGATTGTTGGAATACCTGGTCTCCAAAAACAACACATAGATATTGTCAATCAGAAACTCAAGCATCTTCTTGATGTCAACTTCAGAGTACTTATGTGTGCAATCAGAATCTGTTTTAACAAAATAATTTTGCAAATGACCAATGACGAGGTAAGTAAATTTACGAGTCCCATCTTTATTGAAGAAGCAGCTGTCTATGATATCAAAAAGCCTGGATTTTAATTTGCCGTGGGGAATTGTTGTGTATAAAGTTGAAAAGTCGTAAGTTTTTAAGCTGTTGATTTTTGTAAAGTCTTGTGATTTCAAATTGTCCAAAAGTTCTTTAGAATTTTTAAGTATCCACATCTGATTTACACCACTTCTTGAATATATAGTTGCACAGTACTCTTGAAGTTTTTCCTTCACTACTGTCAATTTCTTAGTGAGAAGTAACGAAAGAGGCTTGGTTGAACATTTACTGGAAAGAGAAAGGAAAGGGTTTAGATGGTTAGTTGGTAAGGAAATTAACAAATGAAATTACTGTAATATCAAAATTACTGTTTTACTAAAGAGCTTCCAAATGCATAGATCTAGTTCCTCAAAGGCGGACGGATATAAATCAGAGAGATTAAAATTGTCGGGAAATAGACATTCATACAAATTGCATGGAATATTACCATTTTTTCGAAATGTTTTTAATTGCACAATTTCTTGACAAAATGAAATAATAAAATCTATAAAATTTATCAATGAGCTAATAAGGAACATATATATATATTAGATGAAAATGAATACCTAATACAAGCAAATTCAAATATTTATGGTATTATGTGAAATGTTAAAGCCCTATCTTTATTGATCCAAAGTTATGACCAAGATTATTTTTTAAAGCGGGCCAGACTACAAGGGAACGAGGTCAAAAATCACAAGTAATACAAAAGTTATGGTCAATTCAAAATAATTTTTGAATTTTTGAAAAGTAGTTCAAACTTCAAGATAAGGGTCACTTTGTCAAAATTCACAGTGTATCTAGAAAGGTCTTGTCACAAAAAATGCACAAATGCTATATTACAGTCGTGTCGTTGTCATTCAAAAGATATGTCCAAGGTTGGATTATAGTTTTTGTAACAGAAGGACAGACGAATTAGATTTAATGTCCCCTTCGCTTTAGCGAAAGCGAGAGACAATTATTATTATAAACAAGAAGTTGCATACACAGAGAGAGAGAGAGAGAGAGAGAGAGAGAGAGAGAGCATTACTCACCCTTACATATCCTGTATGTTTTATCCCAATAATGACCAAAACAGCACTCTTTTCCTTTGGATCTGTACCAATGAAAAAAAGTGTATGTGAATTAATTCATATAGTTCCTTTGAAAAGTATTACTGTTATCAAATTTATATATTTGACAGACCTTGGACAGGCACATGTTACTGATTGTATATAAAAAACAATATTAAAAACAAGAAACAATTCCATGTTGATCAATAAAAGCCCACTTTTTCAAATGATATAATGCTATACTAATAAAATCGAAGTGTACACGTCACGCATCCGGGATATCCCAAACTTGTAGCATCGAATGACTATATTGGTATCACACCATTGACATAATTTTTCATTTTAAGCCATACATGTACCTGATGTAAATTTGAAAGATTCTCTCATTCTCCACCAACAGTAGCATCTTTCTACATCGATTACAATTTTTTTATTTGTTCTTTTCAGATGTGGAAATGTAGAATTCTGGGAATAATGAAGAGGGTTCTAATATTCATCATTCTCTTTGTAGACATGGTATGTATGCATAATTATGTTTAATTACATTGATGTTTTATTTCGAATTCATTTTTTGTATAATTCAAAACCTGTATTTTAAGAGAATATAAAATTAGACGAACATTACATGTATACGATTTAATATTGTGATGTAATTTATAAGCGATAATTAATCATCGTTCAAGCATGCCAATACGTTTTAAGGTTTTATTATCATAATTGTAGACAAAGTATGTTCGAACAAAGAACTGCACAATTTCAACACCAACAGTTCAATATGTGAGTGTTTGCCCAACAGATGAAGAGACTTGGAAAAAAGCTGCAAAAGCAAAGAACTGTGAAAGTCTCGCAAACTTTGCTGTCTCAGAAGGATGTGTTAACAACCCCTCCGATTTTGTCTATCATTGTGTTATCAACCATTGGAGAAATGCAACACTAGAAGTCTGCGCACCAACGCGATACATGCAATGTAAATTTCGCTGAAGCAGAGCATAGTAACGCAGCAGTATATTTAACATGTTAGAAATCATTGCTAAAGCAAGACCCTAAGAACGGGAATTATAACCATTCTTTATTTTACATTATAATTTTATAAGATATAAATCATAAAATCATAGTATAAGAACAGTTATCTACTTATCATATCCGAATCAACACATATATCAAGATATACCAGTAAAATTAACTATCTATAAAAGAAAAGTGAGAATTCAATTAAACACATACATTGTAATGAAAAATAAAGTATTGAAATAATGACAAAATTCATATTGAGGTTTACATTTACAGCTTTTTGTGTTGATTTCGACACTGAACTCGCCAGAATTACAGAAAATTATAAGGCAAATTGTAGTATCTTTAAGCCACCCTGTCCACCAAGGTATATTTCAACTGATGCTTTTAAATGTAAGTTGAAATAATATTGCAATGTACAAAATTAAAATTTTCTCTTAATTGTATTCAAAGTTTTATTTAATGCTAATGTAAATAATAATATTTTCTGCTACAAAATAAATTCATATAACAATAGTTGAAAATTATTGAAATTCTCTTACCATCTTAGAAGAAAGTCGTAGTTTTAGCTGTCAATCCACTCGGTATGAAATTTTAATGATGTAATAAAAGTACATAGGACAGTTGCTTGTATATTTTTGCCACATAGATTCTGTTTTGGTTATTGCATTTCCTGTGTTTTGTCTGTAGATCAAGGTTGTTACGACATTGTTAAATTCAGAACAACCACACAAGTCACCGCAAGTACTTCAGCAGCAACGGTCATTAATCCAAGGACGACGAAAACTGAACCTTTCCAAGAGCAGTCAGTTTTTATTTTCGACATCTAACACATAATTGGAAAAAAAGAGTTCTCAATATTTCAACAAAGTATTAAAAGCATAAATAATACATATTTTCTGTATGGGTCTGGTGGAAATTGTTATTTTACATTTTTGAAAATTTATCAAAATTGATGATGATTATTATATGTATATATTTACAATTCTTTACAGAGTAGTAATTATCGGTGTTGTCCTTGTGGTTTGTGTTGTTATCATTCTTGTCATCGTCATTGTGCTAGGTTGCTGGATAAAAAGTGAGTAATACTTAAAAATAAACAAAGGATTCTAAAATGTTAGCGTTTTGCATTGTTTTTGGCGAGCTTACTCTAAGTGTTTGACTTATTACATATACCTATGCATATACAAAATATTATTAACATGGTCATTTCGTATCGATATATATTCCAGAACCAAAGAAAGGGAAGAGAAAATTTGGTGAAGACTCAGAGGGTATTATATATTTTTCCTCTATCTAAAGCAATGATAATTTCCATTTCATTTTCATTTCCTTCAAATTAAATTAAAATGCTGTGTTTGATTTACTGTTTTAGAAGAAAGTGAGAAGAATACATTCATAGAAGATGATATAAATGATTATAAAAATCAAGGTATGAACCCAATTAAATACAGTAATTTAAGCTGAACTTTTAAACTTTTACAGCTACTTCAATCATGATCATTTGATAATAAATTTAAGTAATAAAAAACCCAATTTATAATGTGTCAATTGTTTTCACAGATGTTCAAATCAAGAATGCCCATCAAGACGGAGCAGAGGATATGTGAGTTATTGATAATAAAAATAAGAATAAATTAAACAAGAAAAGCATTTGTGTGAAACAGTAATTATCATTTTCAATTTTATGTAGTATTTGAAATTAATATGCATTATTTTGACAGACCTTTGATTAAAAGAATTGAAGATATAGGTGAGAAGGTTTATGTTATTATTTTTATTTTTATAATCCCAGGTTATACCCCCCTCTGTCTCAATTACGACTCGAAAGATATGCATTCTGTAAACGTATATTAATCACTCAAATTTATTATAAAAAATATATATATCGCATTATGCTGTATATAGAATAATTATCGCCCGTTCCTCGTCGCCTAAAATACCCTTAGAATATGAAGATTGAATTTTCCATTTAAAACAATACAGACTGGAAAATGTTATACATTCTTTTTATTTGGCCCAGAGAAATAAAAAAGACAAAACATTAATGCATAAGTTTAGAAACGTGTTGAAACAGGATTTCCCATACTTGTTTACGCCAGTGTTATCGACCATACTTTAAAATGTTTTCTAAAGGGTGTTAAGAAAGTTCGTTCCACATTTTTCTTTTATTTTTGAAAAGTAATACGATGAGGAGCTATTTACAATTTGTGATATTTCATGTTTACAGAGTCCTTTCTTGTTGTTGATAAGGTTTTAGCTGTCTTTTGTTATATCAATAAGGGGAGGGCAGGTATTAAAACAGACGATGTCTGAAGTAAAATAAAAATATGGCGCACATTTGTGACATATATTAAGCACATAGGTAAAAACATCCTTTAATATACTATGTACAAATTATCAAACCTGTGAAAAATTTTAAAATGATAAACCTATTCTTTTGAAAACTGATCTATCGTTCTTATACCTACGCTCACCAGCTTGTCTGATGCTGGATAAGCTATGGAGAAACACGAACTTTTCGAACAACCTTGTAAAATTTTTGAAAATATTTCATCATGGAACGATCTTTCTTAACACCCCTTAGATCCCATTGTTTGTTAATTGGATATATATTTTACGTCATACTTTTTGTTTACTTTAAACTACATGTATATAATTTCTATACAGAGCTTCTTGACAACACAAGGCTAGAAGAAATCAAAGGTATGCAGTTTTAAGACCAAAACACACAGTTAAATTGTATCATGATACTAGTATTTTACAAGATTCTTCGACCCTTATGAATATTAATTTGAAAAGAGTGTTCTATTTCTTAATAGAATTATCATCGACTTTTTATCCTAACCAATCGGATGGTGCCATATTTATAGCAGATTCAAGTACTAATTTTAAAAGCATCCAATTATATATATATAACCTGTTCCTCTGATAAAAAAAATCTAAGGACAAGGTACACTTTTAATACAGATTAAGCCCTGTATTTTTCTAAAATATGAAAGTGATGTAAGAAATCAAAATTCATTTTTTTTCAGATTCATAGGAATTCTATGCGTTTTTCTTATAATTTATGACCTCCTAATGCTTATTGAGACGTCATTAATTTGTGCATTTTCCGAATTTTCTTAAAAAATTGCAGAAGACGCCAATTTTCAGTGGAATTTTCTTTCAGAAAACATATTCTACCAGCGTCGCCCACAAGATTTTAAGATACATGATTTTTCAAATCAGTAAAATATTTATCCAAAAATTGAAGTGGGCGACGGTCACAGGCAGTGTTCTCTAAAGGAAAATACACGCACAAATGAGTCATTTTGAGGCTTTCTGCATTAAACTAACAAATGTACCAAATTAATGACGTATATATATATAGTTTGTGAACAATCTTATAAAATGAAAGATATGGAGATAACAAACAGTATTCAAGATTTAAAATCGGTAAAACAATACAAAATAGGAGTAGAACAAACACGGGCCTCGAAAACATCAGAGGAATAATCAGATATCATATTACCGTGTAAATAGAGAAGTGCTATTTACTTCTTTTCCTCTTTTCGATTACAGCTGTATATTATCATCAATTCTCTGTAAGGACCAAAACTTTACTGTAGGGCTGTGGCACACACCATGGGCGATTTCAATGAAACTTTTTCAGGTGATTAATGCCCATACAGTATGACATAATCAACATTCAAAATTAAGGTTACCACCTTGGTTGCCATGGTAACGGACAAAAATAGATTTTGACCCCATTTATGCCCATTTCACACATAAAAATGCTATATAATTAATATATGGTATAATCATCTTTATTTTTATAAGATAAATAATACATTATATGAACAGAACATATGGAGCAATATATTACACAAATAAAAAAATTTCTACATGTCACTACAAATTCTTCAATTGGTGGCTCAAAGATGACCAAATTCTAACATTTCGAAAATGGCCATTTTTACCTTATTTTTCAAGAGGTCTCTCAAGGAATGCAGGCAATATGAGAAAAAATCAACTGAAATTTTAAAAACACTGTAATATATTTATTCAACTTTTCTAAAAAGTAGAGTGGGTATTTTATTCGTTTTCGGTATTTTTAACCTCGAAAATTGGCATTTTGCCAAATAATTTATTTCTTTTTCAAAATTTTACCAGACACTAGTTGTTTAATAAAATTTCTTTTCCAAACAGTTTTTTCTTTAAAATATGAGAAATCAAATGAATAATAAATGTTTTCAATTTTTTTTTAAAGCTATTAATTAAAATAAATCAAAATTAATTGTTTTATTATTGTTTCTCAATGATCCCTTACAAAGGGCAAATAACTCAAAATCTAGCAAAAATTAGCTCTTTGATACCCATTTTCTATAAATAATTAAACTTCTTTGTCATGCACTGATTCTGATGAAACTTTCTCCATTAGTGCTACATGTACTTGATACCAGAAATAAAAATATCAAATAAAATTTGGTTGCAAGGTATCTTGGTTGCTATGGAAACAGCCAGACATTTTTGAAAAATTGAGACTTTTGGCTACTTGAAATCTCAATTGAACATTTAATAAAATCTAAGAAAAACCAACAAATTATTGTCACAAAAACTACACACCTTGTTTTAATTTTATGCTACACAGAAAATGTTTAGAAAATTATTTGTACATGTAAGTCAGTGGTAAATATGGGTACATGTATATTTGAAAGCCAATTTAAATACTGAAAAATGCAAAGTATTCACTAATTCTAGGCGTCACTTGACCAAAATTTAATAACAACTTAAGAAAAACAATAAAATGTTTGATCTCAAAGACATAAGTGTTAGCAAAATCATTCTGTAAATAACTTTTAGGGTTTCCACAGTTACACAGTAAAACCAAGCAAATAAGATTCTAAGATTGGATTAATGCTATTATCTTGAGGAAAAACAAGAAAATTCTAGACTGGCACATACTAGTATGCATCTTTAAGACCTTGCAACACCAACAACATACTGAAAACTTTTCACAGGAACTTTGCCCAGTAATCAATATTTTCAAATACTAGATACAAAATGGAGAAAAGGTGCTGAATTTAAATTGACTATAAAACTAACAACACATTGAAAAAATCATTAATATATCACTAACAATCTGTAAACATATACATACTCATTTGTATTCTGTTTATCAGTTTTATTCACGAGAACATTATTTTCCCACTATTAAACAAGACTTTGTGCTCTCAGAAAATTAATTCTCACATAAAATAGTATTTTTTGAGATTAAAAAGAGTATTGACACCAATTTTTGACAAATGTGTCGATTTAAAAAAAGAGTCAATGACAATGTTGTGAAAATAAGGTAAAATAATTGCAAAAATTATGTGATCTACAGTACATGTATATATAAAAACTTTTATATTAATACAGTCTTTTTTCAAATTATTAATCAAGAAAATCTTCATTCTGAACATTATCTAAAATGTGTATTTATATGTCAAAATACGGAAAAAAAAATCTGTTACATAACAATTTAGTTCAAACAGCTAGACTTAAAGTTACCTTTTTTTTTTTTTTTTTTACATCAGACGTTTACTGTTACAGTAATTAAACTTAGTTATAACAAAGGCATGGGGACCTTCGAAATTGCTTTGCTATATCCGTTATTTGTTATATCTGTATAAGGAATGTGTTAAATTTATATAGTTGGGGATCCAAGATGACTTCGCTTTATCCGTAAATTCACAATATCCATGTTTGTACTAAACGAGTTTTGCTGTATGTGGTGTTAGTGCTGTCCAGTGAAGAAAGTGACACTTGAAATAATCATCTTTGACTTTTTCCCTGAAATAAAAAATAACATACATCTATACCCTAATTTAAATTCATTATTTATCTACAACATTTTTTTCATGTGAAAACAAAATTGATATTTTTTTCACTATCATGTATTTAATTCTAAACCAATTGTTAGTATTTACACCTTGAAAAAATACCTCAAAAATATTTTAAGTATAACCAATGGAAGATAAAAGCAACCTAAAAAATTTAGTGAATTTACCATCACAAACTTCAAAACTTCTGACCTCCAATTTCTTTAAACAGAATTCCCTCCAAAAGAATACTGTTTGGTAACGATACTGTCTGGAGTTCAGTTCTCATGCAGGATCACTTGCAAGTTTTCTGTCTTTTTTTTAATTTTGTAACTGCCTCCTGTTTCTGGTATATAACCTTTGTGTTAAAAAAAAGATAATAAAAACATAAAAACAAAGATTATTTCCTAATAAGTTGCAACTATATATAGTTCATTGCTGTATACTGGATACTAGTATTTCTATTTATAGTTATTTATAGGCCTTATATGCAACTTTCTTGCATAAATCATACATATAAGCATTATGTATGTTAGGGATATTCATACATTTTATATATACATTATCCATATATACATTGCATATTCATATTCAATATGAATTTGAATAAAAAACTTTCCTGTTTTATACATATTCTAATATTATGAATATTTCTTTTGTATATAGAACAAAAAAAAAATTCTAAAACCTCTTTGATAAAATTTTTATTAAAACATACATCATGTGTTGACTAGAAAATTGAATTAATTTAAGGTACATGTACCTCAATATATTTTAAATTTTGTAACCTTTCACAGCTTGTGTCAATTCTAAAATGTAACAATACAATCATGTAGGTAAACCAATATTGATTTCTTTTAATAAATAGAACAAAAAAATTCATCCTTTGTTACTTAAAAAGTATTAAAAACCTCTTTGAAAAAAAAGTTTATTAAGACATACATGGATTTGCTATTTTTTAGTGTTTTAGAAATATCTGAAATCAATTGCAGTGTACTTTGACAGAATTGCTCATTTTTAAAGAATTTTCCTATATTTTTCATTGGTGTCATTTGAAATAATTTGTAACATTTCATAAGTGTCAATGCTCCTGTGTCACAGTTCTAAAATGTAACAATACATAGTAGATTCTAAAACCAATAAATTATTATTATTCTCTACTTAATTACTGTATCCCCAGACTTTATAAAAAAAAAAATCATGACATTAATAAAAGATTTAATGTTGCTGTGGTGGTTAATTAGCATTAAATAATGAAGCATGTTTTCCTTATCCTGATAATTGTAATATTGAAAAAAAATCTCACCTGCTTTTTACTGAAAATGAATCTTTTCATCTTTTTTTTACATAGTTCAAACTGTATTGGTACATCTAAAAAATATTTAAAATTATTAATTATCAAAATGAAAGAAATTTGCATGAATACATATATACACAAACAAGGGCATATCATTTTATATTTTATTAAAGTGTGTATATATAGCTTCAGAAAATTAAAAATCATGTTTTTTTTTCACTGTCAAACTGAATAATGCCTAATATGTGTTTACATCTGTCTCTAATTTATACACACTTTCAATACTGCTCTTTAGTCCCCCCCCCCAAAAAAAAACAAAAAAACACACACACAACAATGTAGTCTGTACCCGAAAACACATATTAATTTTTCATTTCATACACACAAACCTAAGTTACATCTTCTTCATTTCATACACACAAACCTAAGTTACATCTTCTATTACATTCTCCTCCTAATCAATAGTTATATGATTTTCAAGAGTAAGTTAATTAATTTGCTTTCTAAAGTAAACACAAATTTCTCCTTTTTTTTTTACCTGTGCCTAGGGTAGATCCATTCCTACTGATTTCCCGGTGGCCGTATCCACTGCTTTTTAATGTTTTCTTCCATTTGCATCATAATGTACGTATGGGTTTTTAGAATAGATGGAATCCCTCTAGTCAGACTTCATAAATGTTGTTCCAATATTTCACAAGACCTGTCTCTTTCATTTTCATTAATTGATTGATGACTTACTTTGTCACTCACAACTTAAACATCATTTTCTCATTGTTTATTTTCCTGGTGTCTGTTTAGCCACATGTTGTTATAAACTTCTTTTGACAATATAGGAGAGTCAACCATTTTTTGTTTTCAGTGCAAAAGAGTCAGCAAAAGAAAATAACTCTCGGTCAATTTTCGGGAAAAGTGAGGATTTCAGACGAATGGAAAACAACATTTAACTGATTTACCCACCTCAAATCTTTTTGAATCTTTTAGATCTAAGTTCTATCTTACTGAAAAAACCTTTTTTATGAGTTGAAATTGCCTGCAAAAATTTCTATGCACTTGAAGAAATAGGTACCTTTGTATTCATTTTATGACAATCTTTGTGTAAATTGATCTGTATTATATTAAAACCCTTGAGTTAAATTGAATAAAATTTATATGCCAAGAAACTTTGATTAGTTAGCTATAAAATGAGACCAATGTTACGTTCTCAACTTTTCTACGTTTAGGAAGCATGGAATTATTTTGCATGGTGATGACAATTAGGTCATTTTCACCATGGCAAAATATTTCAAGGCCGTTGCTATGGAAACCAAGGAAGCACTGTCCAAAATTTACCCACCTATAGTCTTTATATAGGACACTCTTTAATATTATATTGATAAAATAAAATTCCATGATAGTGCGTGGCCAAGCAATTTTGGTCCTTACAGAGAATTGATGTTATAATGTGATACTTGTATTTAAATACAAATTTAAGTGTGTTTACAGGTCTTAAAATGATTCACTGTAGAATATATCTCTAAAGAGATATATTCAAGTGAAATCATCATGTTGTCTTTAATCTTTCAATTAAAGATGCTTTGGTCGTGAATAATGCAAGGAAAAAGGTGGCGATATCGAATAATGATTGATTGCAATTATATTTTTTTTATATAAAAAAAAAATTGGCAAAAATTCACTGACCCTTTGAAACACAAGGTGAAAATATTCTATCGATAGGTCATACCTGACATTAATCCGTGTTTATCGGGTAAACGGGTTTTTTGTAGCCCAGGCAAAATTACATATTGTACATGTACAATGATTTCTAGATGGTAATAAACAGTAAAAATATGAAAATTGGAATATGAAGTAAACATACAGTCCACCGAGAAGACGTATAAGCAATCTATTTATTTGATTGGCCAGAGATCTTGCGTCTAATTTGAAAATTTAAGTAATCTGTGAATAAAAGATTTGAGGTAATTCGAATAAAGGCCAATTCAGTTTCTTTATTCTTTAAGCCAAAGTCTCATAAGATTTTACACAGAATATAGAGAGTACAGAATAAGACATTATGTACAAAAATACTAAAAGGATATAGATATTAACAATAATTACAACAGTACACAATCTTTTCCTCATATCATTATTTCTGTTCTGTCGAGTTATATGCTATAACAAAATAAACGATTTTTATTCACTTGTAGAACCGAAATATACTTATACCATATCTCTTTTTAGCGTACAGTAAATGGTAACTTTTTTCCATAAAGTGGTATGAATTCCCTATTTTGACAAAATCGCTATCAAAATTAGGTTGTATGAAAAATACCTTAAAATACCTTACATTATTCACGAGCCTAGCGCAGGATTCGGCACAAAAGCAATTGTACGCAAGACTTCATATTTACCAGTGTTAGATGTAGAAGAAATTGTTTTGTATTTAGTCGATTAGACTTCTTAAAAAATTCTATTCTGATCCAAACGAATCAATCTGATTTTTATATAGAACAAAGAGTTATAGGATTATTTAACTTTAAAAAGTAGTTAATTATTTGTATTGAATCTTTATTAAGCACAAGCAAGAGAACACTTAAAGAGTTACAGAGAATTCGATGAGTACTACGTTGAAACATCCTTATATAAGAAGATACGGAACTGTTTTCGAGAAAATGGAGTTGTGATAATAGAGGGATCAACTGGTTGTGGCAAAACAGCTGCTGCTACGCATTTGTTATTGAAGTATTATGAGTTACCCGGCATTGATGTACTGAAAGTAACACAGTTTAGCGATCTATACCAATGTAAGAGTAATGAAGTATCATCTGTCATTTTTCTAGTTGATGATTTAGATATCGATAACCCAGACATGCCAAACTGGGCAAAAGCGTTTGAGATGCTCTACATAAAGATGAAAGAATCAGAGAATGTGCTTCACAGAGGAACTCAAAGAATTCGATTAATTGTTACAGCATTTCATATTCCATCAATATTACGTAATCTTCCTATATTCTCAGGGGATTTTTTAATCCTTGAATCCGAATTAAGTAAGAGGGAAAAACTTCAAATTTTACGGAAACAAATGAAATACGCTAGTGGATATCTGGATATCAAGTATGAATCAATTAATAAAAATGTTCAAAAGAGCGTTGAATCTGCAAGTACAGTTGTTGGATTTCCTCTGGCTGCCCAGTTTTACGCTAGAGAAGAAAAATATCGCAAGAAAGGAAAGGAATTTTTTGAAAGTCCAAAGGTATTTTTCAAAGATTCATTGAAAGATTATGTAGAAAACGATAAAAGCAAAGGCATACTCACAGCACTCATCATCGTTTATTTGCGTGAAATATATGAAGGGAACGGATATATACCAGACGATATAGCTGTGGCAAAGCTAGTCTTGCCAGAAACATGCAAAAATGCCATAGATTCTCATATAGTCAATAAACTGAAATTGAAATATGAGAATGTATCTAATTCTGCAACAAAGCTTCTTGGACTTTTCTTTTTGAAAACAGAGGAGGGCACCTATAGGTTTTGTCACTCGCTTGTTTTGGATTCAGTAAGTTCCTATCTTTTTGACGAGTACTTTGAAACTGTTGTAGAACATTTTCCTTTGGCTGCCATTGCATATGAAACACACGAATTTTCGGATTACACAGAAACACAATTCTCTTTTATCAGTGACAGATTGATAAGGGAATTGGAAGCTGGAAATTTGGAAGACGTGTGTAAGTGTACCATTCTGAAAAATGAATTTATTTTAAAAATCATGAATAGAAGATTACAAGAAAATGAAACAACTTTGAAAAAAATATTAACAGTATTTGACTGTCAGCATGAACATTTGCGACTGACATTTTGGGCAGGTCGATATGGACTGTTGAAATTTTCAGCCATGCTGTTAAATTTTGTAGATACACACATCTTAAATGAGCCGTTGTTGAATCGATATTTTTCGTTACTAGGAGAATTTTCTTTAAAGTCTCCAAGAGACCTGAATAATACAATCCACAACATCAAAACTTCATCAGAAATTAGAAAGATATTGTTTGCTGAAAGGCAGAGTTTTATTCATGAAATAATTTCATCCAACAGACAAGATGGCGATGTCAAGGCAATCCTCGAACATCTTGTAAAGGACGGAATATCCATGGATACTCTTGACAGAAGCAAAAGAACGCCATTGATGATTGCTGTATATTGTGACAAAGAAAGGGGCTCAACAATTGATCTGTTGTTGAAAAAATCAGATTTGTCAAAGGTAGACAGGAAAGGTTATTCTGTGTTTCATCATTGTGTTGCAGCAGAGAAAAATGATCAAAAATGTTCTCTTATTCTTTCGAAACTTCTTGGTACTCACAACATTCCTACAGATGTTTTGAATCTTGAAAGCAATTCTGGCCTAACAGTTCTGCACAGAGCAGCCATTGTAACAAATCACAGCAGAATAATTTGCATGCAGATTTTGCTTGGTTTTGATAAAGAACTCTGTAAAAGTGAGATGTTAGATACAACAGACAGATCTCCAATTTACAATATGATTAAATATCTCAATAAAAGGAGCGTATTTGTTGAACTGGAGAGATTGATTCGAGCATGTATACTCTTACTACATGATTGTTCCCCTTATGACAAGGCAGACGGCGATGAAAAAAGTGCTTGGGATGTTATTAAAGAAAACAAATCTGGGATTCATCAAAAATTATTTCAATTAATTAAAGTTAGTCCAGATCAAGAAGAAATTATTGAAATCATTAGCTCTGTCCTCGACGACTTACCACAGAATGCTGAAAGAAGTGATGTCCCTTTCGAAACACTTGTACCTAAAGGACCGGAAATCTTTTCTGCAGGTTTAAGAATGCTCTTTAATAAGGCAGCTCAGTGCTTGTGTACTAAAACGTTCAGTGACGTTCAAACAATGTAACCTAAGTGTTTTAAACATTTTAATGTGTTTTCGAAATCACAATTGATAGCATTACAAAATAAAGAAATTCAAATATATTTTTGTATTTATGCTTGCTTTTAATTTGGAAACTGCTCTTAAAAATAAGGGTGGGGTTTAGCTTGATTCGGTCTTATCAAAAGGATATATCCATGTGTGTCCCGCTGTGTGACATGAAACCGCGACTTAGGTACTCATGAATCCTGGACTCGAGAATAATGCTCCAGCAAGTAAGCTAAGTAAGAGAGAGACTGATTATAATATTATTAAATGTAGCATAATTCGATATCTTTGACACTGGGCGGATGTTGCCCCATGCATCTTTGACTAGATTTGAAATTTGCATTCTGTTTACTGTACATTTTTGTGCCATACTTAACCTCAATGCATAATATCATGAACTTTTATTATGATTTTGCTACATGTGTTTCTTTATCTAACATTTTATGTTTTATTCTGTTTGGTTTGATCAATTATTATATGCCTTTGGTATTTATTAATAAATGACCATTGAAATTCCATTTTTGTGTTTACATTTTTGTTAAACAAAGCATCTCGATCATCATCAGGTTCACTGTATCGGTGCATCATCGTTAATCTGATATATACACTGTATATGTTGGATTCTGTCCGTAATATAAAGATCTGCTCGTAAATTGATAAAAGGTTGATTCTCTATAAGGCCATGAAATGTCAATTCCTCATGATATTAACTCACACTACTACTGAATCGTGTCAACCTACCATTACATTATGTCAGTTCTTTATGTACCAAAATCATACCATTATTTCAACACCAATTTACATGATGTAAATATATTATATATATAATATCAACATTGTATTACATTAGGTAGATGTGTTCATACATAATATAGACCCTCTTTATATTGAAGTTGGTAGTACATTTATGTGATGCGAAAATAGTAAATACACTACGTCAATATTTTATAACGTGATATGAACATATGTCTTATATGTCATGCCAATCCTCCATTCGATGATATGAAATTATCAATCATGTTAAAAACATAGGTAATCAGAGATTACAGAGCTCACCTCAACGAATGTTGTCTTTAAGTAAGGCAAAGTCACACAATTAACCAACAGAAAGTATACATTCCAAAAATGAAAATAATATTTTAAAAAGCAATTGTGATCTGATACTTTGAAATAGACCTACATAAAAAATTTTAACTACTTCTTCTTCATGAAAATGTAATGAAAATCCAGCATCTGAAGCAAATTTGAGAGTTTTCATCTCTTGATGCAGCATTTGTGCAAGTTTGGTTTATAAAATGTTATATAAGCCATATAGTTTTTGGTAATAGACCTGCAACCATAACTTTTACCTTGTCTATTATCTGAAAAATGTATGTCCAATTCAGCATCCGAAGCAAGTCCATTAGTGTGCATCCTTAGATGTATCATCCATGCAAGTTTGCTCATTATAGGGCTCATAGTTTATTGGAAATGAAACATGCATCAAAACTAACATTTTCACTCATCCACAAAAAGTAGGTCAGATTCAGCATCCGAAGCAAGCCTGGAAGTATGCATCCTTAGATGTACATGTATCATCTATGCAAGAATGGTCATTAAAGAACTCATAGTTCCTTGGAAATGAAACCTGCACCAAAAACTTTTAACTATTCACTCAACCGGAAAATGTAGGTCAGATTCAGATCCGAAGCAAGCCTGGTAGTGTGCATCCTTAGATGTATCATCCATGCAAGTTTGGTCAACATAGGGCTTAAAGTTACTTGCAAATGAAACCTGCACCAAACACTTTAACCTGTTTACTCAACTGGAAAATGTAGGTCAGATTCAGCATCCGAAGCAAGCCCGGTAGTATGCATCCTTAGATGTATCATCCATGCAAGTTTGGTCAACATAGGGCTTATAGTTACATGGAAATGAAAACTACACCAAAAACTTTAACCTGTTCACTCAACCGGAAAATGTAGGTCAGATTCAGCATCCGAAGCAAGCCCGGTAGTATGCATCCTTAGATGTATCATCCATGCAAGTTTGGTCAACATAGGGCTTATAGTTACTTGGAAATGAAACTCACACCAAAAACTGCACCAAAAATGTTAACCTGCTCCAAAAACATTAACCTGGTAATTCCTTTGCTGAAATTGCAGCATCTGAAACTTTGTCTGGTACAATAAAACACACTAAACCATCTTCCATGCATGTCTAATCAGTATAGGACACAGAAGTAATTAAAAAGAAAACTGCTCCAAAAAACTTAACCTTAACCTGGGACGCCGACGCCGACGCCGACACCGACACCGACGCCGACGCCGAGGGTATCACATAAGCTCCCCACAACTTCGCTGAGGTGAGCTAAAAAACCATCTTAGTTTTTATTAACTGATGTGAAAATCTCATGTCATACTGTGCGCATACTTCTACATTATGTCGATTCACTATTACGTTATGCGAACACGGGTATCCTCGGCCTTTATATGATCATAACGTATTTTCCGCGTTCCGCAGGCACTAAAATTGGCGGGAGAGAAATTGTCGTAGAAGAAATTCTCAGATATTTTGGAATGGCATCTTTAATAAAAACTTTAAACCACAAATGATTGACAATCTTGAAACGTGCAAAGCCTTAACACTGCGACTGTGAATTAAAGTCACGTCGAAATTCAATGGCGTTTACTTTAATCTGATAATTAAATAAATCAAATATTATGAGTCGTGCAGCGATTTTTTTTTTCTTTTTCTTTTTATTTTATTATTATTTTTTTGGAAAAAAGTCTTAAACTTCTGATCTTACTAAGAACATTGTCATAAGATTTTTATCAGTCTTCAACTTTCCTTTTTTTTTAAAAGTGTAAACACATCGTATAACACACGTCCACTTGTGGGATTGGTTGGGGGGGGGGGGGGGCAGAAATCCCGCCCGACATCTTTAGTGACCAAAATATACATAAAATTGATAAATTTATTGGTTTTACTTTGTAGGACAATTGTACGGTGGCTGGTATGGGACATGATATGAGAATTTTTTTTATTAATTCGTTGTGACGAAATAAAAATTCGTGAAAACGAAATAAAATTCCAGGCCACGAAATAAACATTCGTGGAAACGAAATAAAATTCGTGGCCACGAAATAAAAGTTCGTGGAAACGAAATAAAATTCGTTGCCACGAAATTAAAAATCGTGGGAACGAAATAAAATTACTGGCCACGAAATAAAAATTCGTGGGAACGAAATAAAATCCGTTGGAACGAAATAAAATTCGTGGGAACGAAATAAATTTTGTGGCCACGAAATAAAATTTCGTAAGAATGAAATAAAATTCGTGGCTACGAAATAAAATTCGTGGGAACGAAATAAAATTCGTTTCTACGAAATAAAAAATTCGTGGGAACGAATAGTATTCGTGGCGAAATAAAATTCGTGGCCACGAAATAAATTTTCTGCTATATAATGTCATATTTAGCTTCTTCTCTTGTATTTCATTCAAGATGAACGGACTTATTATTATCATTTAATTGGACCGAGCCAAATAGATTTATGGGTTATGGGTATTGAATAATATGCCTGAATCATCATTTACTATTGAAATTTGATTTTTGCGGGTAAATTGCATGAAGAGCTGATTTACGAATAAATAGTATCAATACTGATCTCACTAGTTCATCTCAATTTTTCCCTTAACAATTACATGTACCTTTATTGAAGTGAACACACTTTCCTTTGTATTAAACAGTTGAGTTTTATGTGAAAACAATCATGACAATATATGAATACTGCTCTAATTTTTAAGATGTCACGTTCCCGATAATAACAGGCAACGAAATTCCAGGGAAATACTCGCTAAATGCGAGTTGAAAATCAAAATCGCGAGTTCAAAATCACCAGTGGTCGCAATTTTTTGCGAGTAAAAAAATCGATCTTTTTCCGGATATTCCGGGTTTATTCTTGCCTTTTGAAGTTTACTTTTGATCTTATGCTTAGAGACGCTTTATCGAATGAGTATCAAGACGCGTTGCAAAGTACATGCATAGCGTGGATCGAAAGGCCAAGGCGTCTTGATGCATGATCAATCATGCATTTGCTAAATAAATATTTTAATTCCGAATCCCAGTCAGCTGTTTCAGATGTAAACAATAATGACCTCGTCCATGTTAACTCAACACAGGAAGATGTTAGCGTCACTGCTTCTGTAAAAACCGTTAGAAAATGGGAACATGAGTTTCACATTTCACTAGATTTCATTGCCACGGATCAAATTGTCTCAACTATAAATTATAAGGGCCTACTCTGCCACTAATTGCTAAATAAATAAACATTGAGTGTTTGACTAAAAAGGCCTTAAAAGTACATTCTATTTATTGAAACATCTAGCAATAATTGTGTGAAATACATTAAAAAAATGCACTGGACATAATCTTAGCTGTTGTAAATAACATGCATTCTCATCTTTTTGTCTGCAGATCCGCGCGCGCGTCTACGGACACATCTAAATTAGAACCCGATCTGTCAATACACTAGATTCTTTATCTTTTATTTCGTGGCCACGAATTTTATTTCGTTGCCACGAATTTTATTTCGTGGCCACGAATTTTTATTTCGTGGCTACGAATTTTAATTCGGTCCAACGAATTTTTATTTCGTGGCCACGAATTTTATTTCGTTCCCACAAATCTTTATTTCGTTCCCACGAATTTTTATTTCGTTCCCACGAATTAATAGAAAAATTCTCATACCATGTCCTATACCACCCACCGTATATACCAGCCACCGTAGGTAATGCACTTTTGGAATCAACATGATAAAGAGTTAACACAATATAAAGATATTTTTAGATCACATACCGTTATGATATATCCACATCACGGTACGGAGTTTTGACATAATGTAATAAAGTGTTGATATAATGTAAAGATATGTTCACATTATGTTAACTTTTTACACCACGTAATAAAGCACTGACATAAAGGTAAGATGTGTTCACCTCACATCATGATTCTCTCGCCGTAAAATAAAGATAAATCCATATCACGTAATAATGTTTTGATATAATAGAAATATACACTCTCAAAAAGAAATGGATTTTTGACTTCATGTAATAATGTAATAAGTTTAATTATAAACACAATTTACTTGACGTAATGCAATTTTGACCTCACATATTAAAGAAATTAAATGATGTAAAGAAACATTCATTTCACCTAATAAAGTTTTAACACAATGTAAACACATTATCACTTCACATAATGAATTTTTTACATCTAGTTATGAAGTACTGACATAATGAAAGGATGTATTTACTTCATGTAATGCAGCATTGGCATGATGTTAAGATATTTTTACATTACCTCATAAAAATTGACATAACGTAAAGGTATGTTCACATCACGCTATGACAAATTGACATAATAAATGCATAGTTGTATGCTATAAGGCAGTGATGGCGTTCCATACATAGAAAATAAGTCTATAACACAAATAGGAAAATGCATTTTGCCGCTTCAACA